TTTTTTTTTTTTTTTGTCATAAAATGCAATTCAAGAAATCGGGTCCAATTAGAGATTTGTGTCCCACCAATCTCTGTCTTACGCATTCTTGCGACGTCTCACGTTTTTTTTAATATTCCGAAGAATGGACGTATAGCATATATACACGCGTTGAAACATCTTCGAATAAGTTGACGAGATAAAAACGTACGTATTCGTCGGACAGTTCTGTACATTACGTCGCAAGACACGCAGGCAATGACACACTTTAGAAAATCTGCTGAAGGGGAACGAAAGTGAACGATTCCACGCGAACGAGCAAGAAAGAAGACAGAAAGTAAAGGTGTAAGCGTATCAGACGTGGACATGGCCGAGACCAATTTGGTTTTGGTGTTTTCAAAGACGATGTGCGTCGGAAGTTATCTTTAAATAACGACAGAGACGAATTTGCGTCGGTGTCCTTACGTCAGAAACAACGTTAGAAACTAAAATACCATCGTAACGAAATCCGCGAACATCTGGAAGATGCGCAGATGGCTGTTGAAATATTTCTAAATCTGAAATCGACATTTCCAACTTCATTTTTTTTTTTTTTTCCAATCAGTTTACACTCGTGAGACATTATTTTTTTTTTTTTTTTCTATCTGGATCCCCACAATTCTCCAAAAGTTCGTCTTATCAATGAATAATGTATGCACAATAATTTTACGTTATCGAACTGTTACTTTCCTCCGTTTCCAAAACTTCTGGGACTTTTTGTCGTGTCATTTTTGTTTTAAATGAAAGGACTCGGATAATATGAAGCATAATATAAAGTGGGAAGGAATTATCCATTCCTTTGGTTAAGAAAATTCTCTCCGCGGCAATGTTAGATAAATGATAGCAAATCCTAGATATTGAGAGAGACAATACGTAGAAAGTTGATAGATTGAAATGGAATCGTAAGCACGTTACTCGTTAACGAGACGAAAGAAACAGTCTTGAGACTGAGCCTACGTAATGTTTCATCACGATGTATTTGAACCGATGTTAATTAAATGCGAGACAATGTTCCGATATTTCCACGGGGACAAAGGTACGCGAATTCGTCGTTGGTGGTCTCGTTGAGATTGTCTCGAGCCACTTAAAAGTCTTCCCTGGTTCGCTGGTGTCTACGTTCTCTCGTCGTCGTAAGACGACGGCCCCTCGAAGTTTTTCAGATAAAAAGAAGAGCTGCCAGCAAGCCGGGAAAGAATTTCTTTATTACGATTTCTCGAAACCCTATCCGAGCGCGTTTTAAATGCAAAACACCGCTTTTCACGAGCAACGCCATTTAGCGTTGAAGCGAGCACATCTTTCCCTGTCTTTCATCGTCGCGAATTATGCTAACTTTTGGACATCGGGAGATCGCGTGGGCATTCCCTTTCATCGGAGTTGTTTGAATCAATTGACAAACTGCCCCTGTCACTGATACATGTCTGATTGAAAGGATCGGGAAATTTCTGCAGATGCAATTTTCATTCCTCATTGGTTGGTTTATTTGTCGTCGTTGCAACTCCGCGTGTTAATCGAAGAGCTTCGCAGTCGGCTCGGTTGGTGGGAACGCAATTCCGCTGGATTCGTGCCAGTTTACTCGAAGTCGAAAGTCGCGATTTAAAGGACAGGCACGTGGCCTCGAGTTCTTCCTTTCTTCGAATGGCCCTTTGTGCCCTTGGGGACCTCATCGACTCGGTTACAGCCGGAAGCGGCCAATTCGACATGTTTGCCCGACCGAGCTCGCGGAGAATACA